AGCAAAATCATATCATGCTGTCGTCATTATTCATGGAGTTCTCACTGGAAGTGATACCATGGAACTCATTAGCAACAGAATTAAAGAGGTGAGATGATAGTGGAGCAAAAAAAGGGTCGATTATAAACATCAACACCATTGTTTTATTATTCAAATATGCTGGTAAATTGATTTTTTATTACTTTTACATTTTTTCGCATAAATTATGTCGCCCATCTTTATTGATGAATATAATATGTTCTATTATAAAATTATTTGTAAATAAAGAAATTTTATTATAGTGTGTTCATTTTTATTTTTATTAAATAATATTTTGTGTTTTTGTGCGTCATACTGTCAATAAATTCACAATTATTTTTACGTTAAAAGCCAATAGTTTTTGTTTAAACAAATGTATTTTTATAAAAAAAAATTATATAATTTGTGATATATGAGTGTGAAAAGATTAAAATTTTTTACGTTCGATATATATATCTTCACAGATGCATCCTGGAACTCCAGTCTATAACACTGTTAGATTCGCAGGCTGGAGTAGCCTGGAACCAATGTGGAAACAGGTAGAAGAACTAGGCATGGATGTGCTTTCTATAGGTGCTATATTTCCTGAAGGGATTAATTTAATAGGTTATAGCCAAGGAGGTTTATTAGCTAGAGCCATATTGCAAAGATTTCCTATGCATAATGTTAGAAATTTTATTTCCCTAAGCTCACCACAAGCAGGGCAATATGGAAGTACGTATATTACGATATCTGAATAGAAAATAAAACAAAGATTTTGTTCTAATCATAAAATCCTGATTTTAGCACGTTTTCTGCATTTGATTTTCCCAGATTTAGTTTGTGAGACTGCTTACGAACTCTTTTATTCACAACTTGGACAATACACCAGTGTTGGAAATTATTGGAATGATCCTCATCATAAAGTTATTAACTTTAACCTGTCTTATATGTTAAATATATTATTGTATATTCTAATATACATTCATTTTTCTTTCAGGAATTGTATTATAAGTACAGCAAGTTTCTACCATATGTGAATAATGAAATCGACGTTTTCAATAATTCTGACTATAAAATAGGTTTAACCAAGCTGAACCGTATGATACTTATTGGAGGACCAAACGATGGTGTTATCACTCCATGGGAAAGCAGTCATTTTGGATATTATGACAATAACAACACTGTGATAGACATGCGTGATAGAGATATTTATAAAGATGATATGATTGGTTTAAAAACGTTAGATAAACAAGGCAAGTTGGAGATCATCACAGTACCAGGAATTTCTCATACTGAATGGCATAAAAATATTTCTATAGTAGATAAATTTTTGTTACCATACTTAGATTAGAAACAAAATAAAATTTAAGTAAAATGAGATTGAAAACTTGCCAAATGTATAACAAATATATTGTATAACAAACCATTTGTTATACACTGCTATGTCTAACAAATTTAAACATTAGAAAATTACTTTTATTATATTAAAATAAGTTAATATAAATTTATGACATATACCTGCATGGGTACACGGTTTTGTGTGCATGCATGCTAATTGTGTACATGTACTTGTTAACATATGTAGCACACACTAAGATTTTTATACATAATTTTTTTATACATATATATAAATATACAAAATAAAGTGAATCTCTATGTATTTCAAAATATATAATGTAAATTAATAAGAAAATTAATTTAATGTAAATTACATATTTAGATTTATATGTATAATGTAAATAGGAACATTTATGGATAGTTTTTATACTCATTAATAACTTTATTAAATTTTTTTCATTACAAAATTATCATCATATTACTATTATTTTTTCTTTGACTATTTTTCAGAATATTTTAAGAGTGTCTTAAGTATTGTTGGCATATAAAAAATTGTCTTGTATTATTAAATGTCTATATATACAGGTTTAACATTCGCGAATCATAACAAGAATATTCTTGAAAAAATATAAAAATATTTGCTATGTATTTGTCACTCCGAGCAGTAATTTATCGAACATTAAAATTAAAAAGCCAATTATAGATTACAGTTAAACATTGTTCCGTTAAACAGTAATTTTGTGGAAGACGATCAAAGTTAAATATATATAGTTGAGATAAAGATTAAAAGTAATAGTTCAACTATAATCTATAATTGAGTTTTTTTAACATTAATGTCTGAACAATTATTACTCGGAACAACAAGTGGCAAATACTTTCATAACTTTTTTTAAACTTTTTTGGTATCTTATCTATGTATTTTAGAACTCCCTCTGTAGATATCTACATACATATCATATTAGAGATTCTTAAGATAAAAAATTTTAAACTGTTATCACATACGTTCAATATAATGATCCACATAATCATTTAGAACTTTTTATTATGAGTGAAACGTGTGATGAGATCCAATGCCCATTTTGGTTGATCCGAAGGAACCATATGACCTGCATTTCGTACGAGAACTTCTGTTAAATTGTCAACAGTTTTTATATAGCCCGCTACTTTGTTTCCAACCATCCATATTTTTCTTGACGCTTTTGTATACTTGTCTGCTCCGGACCATTTTAAATGTTTTAAGTAATTTTCCGTGAGTGGATATGCCACGATAATATCTAATTGTCCATTGTAAATAAGTATTCTATAATACTGTAGAAGATCCGTCAATAAAGGTGCTATGGATTGCATGACGTCTTCTTTCAAATGTTCCTCGATAGTTTTGGTTTCAACATGAAAAGTGCTATTGCCAACGTGTATAGCATGTCTAATCTCAGCTCTCTGAACCCATTCAGACATCCAATCGGAATCATTGCTATCTTTCGTAAACAAATAGTTGAAATAATAATCGAAACCAGTTAGATTATGAAATAGGGATGGCATGCCATTTAGATCACCATTAAGGAGTGTATCAAATATTTCAAATGCTTCGAGATATTTCTTCTGTTTAATAAATTCGCGACTCTTGTTTTCATATACTTGAAATTGAGTTTTCCCATTTTCATCTATCAGCCCGAGTTGATACAAATAATCGCTATATAGCAATTGATTCTCTGGATCACACAGTCCGTTACCAATAGAAAGGCCTTTTAAGTTGATTTTTGTTTCTGTTTTGATGTTATAATTTTTAATGGTATAAGACACTGATGGTACATATTTCCCAGCATATGATTCACCAGTGACAAAGAAATCATTGTCTTGTAGCTCTGGGAATAACAAAAAGAATTGTACCAAGGCAGTAAGAATATCTTTTCCTACTTGTGTTTCATTCTTTACATATCCTCTTTCATCATCAGTGAAACTATATCCGGTACCAACTGGGTTATCAATATATATTAAATTATGTGCTATATTCCATGAATATTTTCGCATTGTCAGAGTTTTGTTAGCAGTAACTACAAATGGACCATTTTCCATAAAAAGACCAAACATAGAAGTTGTTCCTGGGCCACCTTGCAGCCACAATATTACTGGGGCAGTCTTTGGATTGTGCTATGGCATACAAATAATGATTGTTTAATAATTTTAATCTTGATTGTAAACTATCTTAATTTGTGTAATAGAGTACCTAATAATCATAAACTACCTAATCATACAATCTATATCTACAATTTTTAATGCTTTAAGGATTACGTAGATCATAAGTACTTGTAAAAAATATGTTAACAAGAGCAAATAAAATTTAAAACAAATATGGAAATTTTTGTCGTATGTATAACACTATATAATTAAAAAATTTCTTATGATAACAATCATAGTAAATAAACTATCAGCAATATGCTAACAAATTGATATCAATTGTGTTTGTATTAAACATGTATTGCCTATTCATATAGAACTTTATGTAATTTGACACGACCAACAGAGCAGCGGCAGAAACTGAACGAATCTATTGAATGCAGAAATTGTATGGAATCTATAGCCTTTCTATTTAAGTATAAATTCAATCGTAGTTCAAATTTTGCAGAAAATGTAGTAGCACTTTGCAAAATCTGTTTTCTATAGATTTGGTTGTGTAGGTATAATAGATCTCTTTTATAAAAAGATTATTAATCGTTACTTACCATGGCTGGAAAAAACCAGAAGAACAGATTAGAATTGTACGTTTTATTAACTGTGAGATAACCTGAGTAACTGCTAATATCGCCCATCTCTTTATGTTGGACGAGAGCCTTTGTTCGCGCCTCGTCAATTTTTCCATTTTCAATTAAAGGCGTCAGGAAAAGCGGCGCACCAACATCCTCCTCATCGGTGAGTTGAAACTGCTTCAATTTGGGATATACATTCAAAAATCCACTTATACTTTCGTGCGGTAATACGAGCAATAATGTGCTCAAAGTTAGCATAAGAACGCTGTACATTGTTAACTCAAAGTTACAATCGATACTGCCTGATATTGCCTTGCTGTACTGAGTGCTGAACTAATTGAACTCAACAAATGTATCTAATTGTAGCTTGTCATGTTAATTATTGCTGAATCGATATAATCGTTTTGTTCTTATCAATGATACGACTAATATATGAAAATAGGTTACAACACGTGACCATGTTATTATGGAGTGCGTTCCAAAAGGCTATTCTTTTTTGTTAAATTTTTGCACCACTTCATCTTTTTTCCTTTTCTCTCCAGGAGAAAAGAAAAGAAAGAAAGATGAACTGGTGCAAAAATTTAGCCAAAAGACGGTCTTGAACATAAGATCTGACTATGAATACCGGCCTATGAATACCGGCCTAAGTAAATAGTAAATTATTCAGACACTTAAGTATTATTTAATTGTAAGGGGTTCGTTGGTTCTTATAAATGATTTAAATGGCAACATTTGAAATTATGGCAAAATAATATATATATGTAGAAGATTGATTGGTTAATTCGCTTGTTACTATGCAGATTATCACCAGTATATGTACAAAGGCTGCATTCGGAAACGTCGGATGCCTCCGATGCCTCGGATTCATTATCTGTCCTTGTTTAACATTAAATGTTTAACATTAAATTTAACATTTAATGTTAAACAAGGACAGATAATGAATCCGAGGCATCGGAGGCATCCGAGCGACGTTTCCGAACGCAACCAAAGCTGTAAGCGCGGCATTTGCCGTTTGCTATACTATCAGCTGATCAACCTAACTGCAACCAAGGTAGCTGAAAGCAATATATTTTCTTCGCATTTGAGTTTTGAATCTGTTGTGTCGTAGAAACCGCGTTGGCGATCGTACGATAAGGTTAGCGTGCCGTATAATATACGGCGTATATTATATAGGTAGTGTCTAAGCTTGATTTAGCGCCGAGATACTACCGTGTCTCCAGATATAATTTATATATGTATATATATATATATATATATACATAATTTCGATTCTAGTTGAGTATTATAGCTACTATTGTGCGTCGTAAATTTATAGATGCCTGTTCATCAGAACCGTAATATTAATAATTTATTGTCTTTTATCATGATATAATAATAATAATAATACAAAATTTCTTGGTTATTAATTATTAAATTGTGCAAAATATCGGATTCTCTATTAAATGTCAAAAAAGTTTATTAATTTTATGTATCTTTTTCTTTTTACAGTTGCTGTGATATGTCTATTGTAGACATCAAGTCAGATATTGACATACATCTACATACGGATATTTAAAATGAATGATTCTTTCCTAGAAGAGTTAGAACTGATACCAAAAGAATCAAAGAAGACACCTCAGCAACCAGATCGCCATGTAACTACCAGGCATGCTACTTCATCTCCTTTAACTCATTTCTCAGAACAAGGTGAAAGAGATGATATTTTGCGACAGAAGGAACATTTTACGATAACAATTCCAAGTACACCTGATATAAAAATCATAGATAGTAAAGAATCTTCTTGGAAAAATTCCAAGAAACAATCTGATCAAAATGTGAAAAAACATTCTGTGAATGTAAAAGCATCAGAGAAAACAGAGAAGATTGCAGACAGCAAAGGAAGGTCTTCGGATACGAAAATAAAAATGAGCAATAGTAATCAGCAAAGTATTAGCGGAGAACAAAAAATAAAACTTCACGAAGCAAAATATTCTAAAGCACCTGAAAACAAAGATCGTAAACGACGTTCAGGATCGTATAAAGAAATCATTTATGCCACAAATACTTTCTCTAAGGAGAATAAACGTTCTCTTGATTCTTCTATTAATAATTCTTCAGATACTTCTAGTAAGGAAAATAGTCGTCCCTCTGATTCTTCCAAGGAGGCTGGTCCTCACATTCCAATTAAAGAGAAAGAAAAGTTAACTGATAAATTGAGAAAATCAGGTGTAAAAATACAAGATCAAGATCCAGTTGTTTTACTTACTGCTATCAAAGAATTGATAAGCACATATACTAAGCAAGAAAGTACAAAAATTCTACGTGCTATGCAGGAGCTACACATAAATTCTCAAGCTACCTTGATAAAAAACCTTTTGAACCAGACAGATGATCTGGTTAAAGAAATGCATCCCAGCAAAGAGTCAGCTAGAATGAAAGCATTGATTGATGAGAATGAACAATTACAACAGGAGTTAATGGCTTTGCGAATGAGAAACGAAAGTTTACAAAATAAATTAGAAGAACTTGAATTTTTGAGACAAGAAAATGCGACGTTAAAATTAAAGTATAACGAGCTAACTCAGACATAATATAATTGCGTTAAATATTGGACCACGAAATATTTTGTTTTTTGCACAAAGTGCTAATTAGGATATTCATAATTTATTTTAATCGCTTGACATTTTAAAAGATATATAGTAAAATTGAGAAAAATATTTTTTGCACGAAAACTGCCATAAGAGATTACACTTACTAAACTACTAAATTACTAATATTTGCATTTATTTTTATCTAATGCCATGGTAATATAGTAATGATATAAAGAACATTTAAGTATTAATACATATAGTGAAATATAAGCGTATTGACTTATTAAAATATCGACGACATTATATATCGTTAAAATAATTTATTTTTTTACAAAAATGTTAGATACTAGTGTTTAGATGTATGCGCACTATTTTAAGGGTTTATCCTATAATAAAGATTTTGTAACATTTAATAAATGAGTTTATATTTGCTTACAAAATTGTTTTTATGTTTCAAATTCCATAGTTCCTTGTATCAAAGTTAATAGGACACAATTTTATTCTTTAATACTGTTGAAATATTTAACGCGGAAAATTAAATTCTAAATTTAATGATTTATCGAAATAAATGAAATTATTTGATTCATCAAGTATTGATAAAGTTCTTAGAATATTAAAAGGTATTTTTTGAAAACAAAAGTATATATATTTGGAATATCAATATCTTAATAATTCGTATTAGTGAGCTGCTATATTTTCATATACACATATTATTTATAAACAATATAAACACTTTCTTGCGATGATACATTTTTCATGAAATACTTCAAGTATCGATAACTTTGGCAAATTAGCCAAATTGCAAAGCTGTACTCATTCGCAAAAAATACGTATAAAAACGATTGAGAAATCATATCAATTTATCATTAATATCTTACAAATAACTTAATTTTAAAGTCTTAAATGCACAATCTAAAAACATGCGTATATTTCACTAAACACACAAATTTCGACGATAACGGTATTTTAAAATAATTGCATTGTTTATTGACAGATAAATTCATTTAAAAAAAATTTATAGTAGCGTTTTGCAAATATATTTTGCGCGAAAGTTTTAATGCACAATTAAAGCGCATTAATTAATTTGTTTGAACAAAATTCATAAATATAAATACACTATAAAATCTGTTGGAAGTAGACTGCAAAATATTTGCTACATTGGCAAAATGTGAACATAAATATAACAGAATCTGTTAATAAAATATAGTAAATTAATCGCTTAAATCAAATCTGCCATTTCATTATCATTTAAATAATATATTAAATTTATATAATAATTATATATGTATACAAAACAATTGTACATATGCGTATACATACATAATACTGAATGTAAGAATAATTATTATATTAAAATTATTTTATGATAAATACGATGGTATTAAATTTTTAAGTTCTGCATGAGATAAAAATTTCTTTTAAATTTGAAAATGTACATGATGTTATAGTATTTGCAAACTTCTTTTACCATATTTTTTTATTATTGAGATATAAATTATTCACTTATATTACAATGATAATTATCTTTATTTTCTTAACATGTTTATAATATTTTGATAAAAATATTTGTATTGCATAACCTTGGTCAGGCATTTGATTTTTCAGCAAAATCTATTAATTGAGCTCTTTTTAATTTTTCTGACAATTGTTTATAGCAATTTTTTAAAATAATAAATATCCGTCAAATAAAAAATATGATTCAATATTCGATTATGGAAGAGAAATATGCGAACACACTCACATGCACACATACTCGTATGTGTATATATATATATATATTAATATATATATATATATAAACGTAAATTCATTATTGGACGAAAATTCGAAATTGTTCTTCAAGCTTGAAATTTTTTCGTCCAATTCTTTGGATATTCCCGGTAAAAATTTTGTCATGTAAAAACGTATAAAGTCATACAAATTAATAAATATATTATAATTACACTTTTTCCCGGGAGGTAAAAGTTATTTTTCTGAATATATTTCAAATTATTCTTATTTCAATTATTTTCCCCTATAATATACATAGATAAAGATTATACAAAAGGATGAAGATATCTATATTGACATTTTTAATGTATAATTTGTATATAATCTATTTATTTGTATTTGTGTATATATTTTTATACTGAAAAATTTTTTATCTCTCTCTCTCTCAGGTTTAATCCGAAGAATTGGATGCTCATATTTTCTAATATAATTTTAGAAGTGATTTTAAAAACGATTTCCACTATAAATATTGTCATATTTATTCTGAAAGAAAAATTATCTTGAAGAAATTCATTCAAAATTTTCTGTATATATTACGTATATAGTACCTGTGTCTATTGCACAATACGTGACAATACGCATACAAATCATTAATTACTTAAGAACTGATATTTTCTACATTCAGTCACGACGAGTCGATGGTTCTGCTTGTCTCCTTCCTTCTTCTGGTATTTCTTCTCTCTCTTCATATTGATCTTCGTTATCAGTTCGCTCTCCTTCTTCGGGCGGTCTTGTCCATCTAACGAAACGATTTTTTGCAATCATATTTATTGAAAAATGAGTTTTTTCTTTATGTCTATTGTTTTGTCTTAATTCATATTTGTGAATTAATTCTTCTCTGTTACTTTATGTTTGTGCTATTGTCATGTTTAAGTGTGTACTTATATCCGTGTGCATGTCTCAATCAAATAAGTATGAGAATATAGTCAAACAAATCTCATAATATAAAATATAAAATTGAATGAAAATATAAAATTTATATCTATCTCATTGTTAATCATTAATCGTTGCTCGTAATTATCATCGATAATTGCAACTTTGGTACAGTTTGCTATAGATTTTTATCTCAAAATCTTTGTCATTGAAGCCTTAGCCTAATTATGATTTTATACATAGATATAATAAAAAAAAATTGCAAAATTTTAATATCTATTATAATCTAAAAATGGTGCAAAATCTAACCTGATTAGTGTTTCCGGTGATCTGTAGAGGAAGATCAATTTGGCAAACAAGTCTTCTTCGAGACATAAATCGCCACTCTCGCGGACCAAGTAAATATCTAAGCAAAGGCGAAGGATTCTGTCGACATAGGGTAAATCATCGAACATAATCTTGGGCGCCATATCACTGACGATTTTCCGCATCATTTGACTTATAACTATCACCGCCGTAGTATACAATCCTATGATCCTGTTTGTAATTATGTAATTTTTAATCAATGAATTGTAATAACGATTTCATAAAATTATTATAATTTTACGAAGAACTCTTCATAAATTTTGTCATAAGAATATCTATGAAAATCAACTATTTCATTATTAATTTACCCAAATCCACTGATGAAGCTTAAGCTCTCGGGGAATGCCTTGTCGTTGAATAGGAACATCATAATATAGTTACAATCATTTAGTGGTATCTGATTAAAAAAATCGGAGCTTGTGCATGCTTCACGAACTATCCACCATTGTTTATGATCACAACATGTCATGTCCGTTGATAATTGGATACTCATGTTTCTATAAAGGTACCTGTCGTCTGTGTCAGATTGATCTTCTGCTAGAAACATATTATAAATAATATTCTTTTTTACACGTTGCTTAATTTTACACGTTCAATTGCTTACGTAAATGTAGCGGTTCCATTAATTGTGTAACAACACTGATGGTTCTAGCAGTGACTTTTAAAAATTTCGGAAAAGCACTTTGCAATAGTACTGTCGCATTCGTTGCACCAGGATCCTTACTTAACATGTCCACTAATGTTTGTCTTACAGGATTAAACTCTCCGTTTACGTACGCTGGCAATGTTATGTTACGATCTGTTACAGTGATTCCACTGGCATCTTTGATATCTGTTTTCCTTGAAACTGCCCATTCCACATGTACACTTATTGTTGTAGTATTAGAGGCCAGTTCTGCTATCAATCTGAAAAAGATGATAATATAATAAGTGTTTGTTTTTAAATGTGTTTCTGTAACATAAAACTCTTATATTATCTGACATTTTTAATTCTTTTTCAGAAGAATAGTATCTATATGATACTTTTTTATTAACTTTTTATTAAACTATCAGGCTTTGTTAGTTATATATATTTTTATAGTTACATTTACTAATATGCATATATCAGTTATATATATTTTCAGATTTTAATTGCAATAATTTTTTTCTTATATAGATTACCTTTCTTTATCAGGTGGGGAAATACCCCAAAGTGTTCCTGAGGAAATACTAAATCTTACTGCAGCTACATCAGAATGAATGTAATTTTCGAAGAAAGTGACAGCTGACTTCTCTGTCGAATATATTTCTAAATTTGTAAGAATTTTGTAATCCGTTTCTGTATATTCGATGATAGAACTGCCTTGTGCCGACATGGAATAGATGGGTTCGTATGGACCGATTCGTACTTTCATGGATACATCATAAGGTAAATTGGACTCGCCAACGGTGCTACCAAGGGCAAAGAGAAGCAAAGGGAACCAGATTAAGCCAATTATGAGTAAAAGAACACTCCCGCCTACCAAGTACTTGCTCATTTGTTTTTTCTTTACTCCTCGTGGTTGAGGGTAGTCTGATTCGACTCCTCGCATACACTAAAATTTTATAAAATAATATACTTATTACAATTTTTATGTATTACTTATTTGGCGCATGTTATTTAATTTAATATTTTTATGCTAAAATAAGTCAATTACATATCTTCTCATACAAAATTTATATGAAAATTTTAAATAAATATTTTTAAGGATGTATCTGATACAATCGTTGACAAAAGTCCCCCAAATTCGAAATATTTGCATAACTGCACCAAACGTGTAGTAAATCTAGTGATAACTTATATAAATGGTAGATAATACAATATATTTATTTTTAAAAAGTTATTTTTCACTTTTTCAATATTTTATTAACTTTATTTGTCATTTTTTAACTTTCTATAACAAAACATTATTTATCAGTGCAAAATGGAAAAAGTAATTGAAATATGGTTAAAAAAGATAAATATGCATTATTTAAACAATATAAATATACTATTATAGTAGAATATGACAGAATATGCCATATTGAAC